GCTCGTAGGGTCATTCCTTGTATTTTATTTCAACGTTTAAAAACTTTTAAAAATCTTTAATATCTTGAAATATATTTGAGTCTCTGCTTTGATATTTGAACCACAGGTTCCCCTCAGCGAGACCCATCCATTTATCTGCTTAGCCCTCTTTTGATAGGCCTAAGGGGGCCCTAGTACTAAAATATCCTGTCCCCGAGTTATTCCTATGGGTTTGGGTAAAAATTTTGACTCCCTTTGATATTGAACTAGGATCTTGATAGTTGGAGGTTCGATAGTATTACGTCATATCACACGAGAAATCAGGTGCTCCCCTCCCTACAGGGCTATTTCCTTGATATCTCGAATCCTAGGCCACCTTGCTCATCCGCACCTGCCTGATTCGATAGATATCCCTATGAACTTTCTGCACATAATTTTATTGCAACAATACTATTTCCTCCCCCACATTTCACGTTTTAAAAGTATTTTAAATTTTAAAAATAATTTTAAATCGTCATCTTTTTAAGTCTCTGTTTTGTAACTCGAACCGTAGGTTCTCCTCGTCGAGCTACATCTTCTTGTCCAATTTGTTCTATGGTATCAGTGTTCTATTCCTCGTCGAGCTACTCTTCTTGTCAATTTGTTCTATGGTAGTCCTTCGTCGCTAAAACTAAAAAAGGTTTGATGACATCACGAACTAAGTGAGATGGGATGATGATACTTGGGGAATCCCTCCCCCCCCCTTCGCTTAGTTCGGAGTTATCTATGTTCGTTCTCGACACTGTTGCCTCCCTCCCCCCTGCAAAGTTCTTTCTACCCTACCTCCGCCTCACTTGCACCTACAGGCCCAGGAAATGCTGTGTTTGTTTGTCGCCGTTTTCTGTACAAACAGGCAGGGCTTCCAGTTTCTGGGTGCCCCACTACTATTTTACTTAACTATTTTAAAAAATTTAAAATCGCAATAATTCTGGTTTTTTTTATGTCACACTCGGAATATTCACGGCCCTTTCATGTGACCTATCTGACAAGGTCTTCAGCTATTACACCATAGTTATCATAAGCCTACGCTCTTCCCCAAAATTGAGCAAGAATACTTATTTTTGATAAAAAATTGCGTTAATCCTTATGTTAATCAAATAAAATTTTCAATAAAGATATTATTATTCGATAAAAAGTTATTTCCAATCGTATCCTACTCATTTTTTTTTCAGGTTTTAAGTTACTTTTGCGTATTTTTTTACCACGATAACATGCCAGATGTTATACATCATATGCGGATACTGTAAGGCTCGGTTTTTTTTTCCATCACTGAAATTTAGACGTGTCAGTGCCAGAACCTGATGAAATTGTTATTTTGATTGAAGAAGTTGTCTATCTTGTTGTGAGCAATTAAATCTAAAAGTGGACGACGTTCTGGATTCCCACAATCAGGAGCTGACAATTGATGAGCTCATCCAAATGTACGAGCAAGAACAAGACTGAAGAGTCCTTAGGCCCGAATCAATACGAAGATAGAATGACGGTTGAGAATTTGACAGAAGGCATCAGTTTAATTGGAAAAGGGTTGGACATTTTAGAAAAAGTAGACCCCAACAAAGATCGCGTTTCTTCAACAAAACAAGGAATAAAAAAAGTATTAGCATGCTATGAGCAAAATTTTGCGGGAGAAAAAAATATTTGAGCCGGCAAACTACTTTGTTAGATTTTATGAAACCTTCTACATGAAAATAACTTCGGCTTGCGATATTGTATTTGTGTTACATATATATTTAAGATTTTATTAAACATCCCCCCCCCCAGAATTCTTAGTTTTTTTTCGTTTCCGATTCCTAACTAAAAGTATCTTGTATGTATTTATACTAGAAATTACACCCCGACTTACGCTGCTATCACGCGGGCCCACCTCTATCGCCAACTTCGGGGTATTTTCATTCCATGCCATCATTCAGTTTATTGCCTTATGTGTTACAGTGTAGAATACGAAATGTGAAGCAGTACACTTACTAAGAGAATGGATGAGTTTGGAGTCGAAAATTGCGTATAGTATTTAAAAAATAATTTCGAGAGAGTTACATTAACGTCGCCAACTATAGAGCCACACGAGGGCTATCGTAATTTTGATCAAGTAAGGAGGACACCCCTGAGCTCTTTATCACAGCACGGCACACCAACCGTAAGACATTGAACTTCGACAGATTTAATGTTCTCACACGCGGCGGGTTGATAGGACTCGAACCCACGATAATTTCTCGAGAGAAGTTTTGAGTAAATAATTAGTAAAATTTTAATGTATTTTGAACATGTTGAAAAAACGCGATTTATGTTGATTATAAGTTACATCGTTCATTAACTTAAAAAATTTATTTCGTATAATCAAAATTATCATAAAAACAAATACGTAAGAAATAAAATTTGTTGTCAATTTTAACATAAAATGGGGAAAAAATTCTATTCTGATGGATAAATTCATTTAAATTTTAAGGCATTTTTCCCCCCGTGCGCATCAAAAGTGTTTGAAAGACGAAAAATGATTTGTAGACTGTTATTGAAAGAACAAATTGTGTCTACAAAATATTAAAATTAGTTTTCTACGAACACGTCTTGCGTAGTAGCCACGCGAAAAGATTGCGATATCTCGATTTACTTCTATCACTACTGAAACTTATATTTGCACTTTTTAAACATCTGTGAAAACAATTGCAATTGTATGGTTTTTGTTCTTGATTAGTTTTTCGCGGTATAAAAATGATGGAATAGTGTCATTTATTCATATAGCTCGCTAAAATTTTACGTTTTTCCTGACACGTGTTTTCAATCGTAAAGAAGCCTGGTAATGATGTGGAACCCTTTCATTTATTTTGCTTTCTTAAGGAAATATCTTTAAAATTATGTGAAAATATAAAGCTGAAAAATGGGGAGAAAAAACGTTTAAAAAAAATCTGGAAATGGTTCAATTAATCTCGAAGAGGTTGGTGCATAGCTTGAATATAAAAATAGAAATTTAATGTTAAAATGATTAAATGTATATATTTAGAACATTGCAATGCATATATAATAATTTTACATGGTTTTACTCTATCGGGTGTATTTCTTTTTGGATTCAAAATTTTCTCTTAAAAAGGATTTTATATTCTGCCACGGTCGCTTAGTGACCAGGGCCACCAGCGTGTCACGAGTTCGAGCTCCGTACTACTGAAGACTCGCCATGTAGAGGCACGTTAAGTTTGTCGAGGCTCAGAGCCCTCCGTGGCGCAGTTTGATGAGGAAGGGGTGCCAGCTCAGATGTCGTCCTCATTGCTTGACCGTGGCAGAAAATTACGAAGTCCATCCCCAATAGCCCCCTCTAGTGTTGCTTCATAGTACGACGCTAATAAAAGACTTTCTCTGATTGTCTTTTGCCTGTTTTGAAATTGCGCAGGGTAGTAAAAATAATTCTGTAAATATTTCAAACAGATATTCACGAAATTTATTTGCTAAAAATCCCCTCATAAAAGTGGCTGGCTGAAAGTTTTTGCGTTGTTCTCTAACTTCCGAATTAAGATTTTAAAAAACTCCAGAGGGAATTAATTATACTTATCAAGAGAAAATGAAGCACACAGGCGATGATTAAAAATTTGAAGGATTATTTATTTAAAGTTCTGCTTTAATGGGAATTTTAATGGGAATAGAACACAGAAATATTTTCTCAAAAAAACCTCAATTTAGTATTGTTAGTCTTTAAATAAAATTTTTGCTTAAGATTTACATTTATTCCATCGAACCATTTCTTGTTAAATTAATCTTGTGAATTGAATATCAGCAGCACTGCAGGGTGAGCTTAAGGTGTCGAATGCATTATGAAAGAGAATTCATAAGAATAAAATTATGAACGTGTTCTCATAATCATTCCTGTTTAAAAGTCCGTAGTCCAAAACTGTCTGTGTGAGACAGAATTACTTGAAATGTGTTCGATAATCTCGCCATCTGTATCATGAAGTAACTATAATTGGCTTAATTAGCAGCGATGTGATTCTGATAATTTACAAGCTATCTCATTTTCCACGCCAAACCACCCAAAACAATAGTAATTACGCAAGTATTTCTTAGACATTTATTTCTAAAATAACGTGTGGAATTAATACGAAAATTGACCCCCAAGGATGGTTGCGAGGGGTCAAGAGCAGTTACAGAAAAATATTCCTGTTTTTAATTGTTAGACCCATATACTTGAAATTTGTTAAGCATGTTTCTTTTGTTGAATAGGGATGCACTAAGAATGTATTTTAAGCTAATCAAGTTCTGGGGGGCGTGCAGGGGTTACTGGGACGTATTGACAAAAAAAATTCCTTTTTTCGAGCTACAAGGACTATAATAATGAAATTTGGTTAGCATTTTTCTTTTGTTGAATTGAAATCCGCTAAGAGAGGTTATTTTGGAAAACGGCTCTCAACGGGATTACAGGGATATTGATAGTAAAACTTTTGTTTTTTTTTTCTGTTAGATTTAGACTTGAAATTTGGCTTGCATGTTCAATTTACGGTGTAGAGATCCACCGCGAAAATTGGTTTTGCGGGAATCCACTTGGTTTTTGGGTTATGAAAGAGCAAACATCATCTATACTTCAATTTTAGAGATTTTTAGAAAATACAAATTAGATGAGTTCTGCCCTTTTTTTGCGACAGTAAAGGTATAAGTATATTTTTCAATACAATCGAGTTCTTAATGCTAGGACTTAGATATCAATAATTTATACATATATATAAACAGTAAAAATTTATAAAACATCATGAAATACCCAGCGAAGCGGGCGGGTAACAGCTAGTATAGATATATAGTTCAATTTTCAATCTTTAATAAAATATTTTCTATTCATCCATTCAAGTTCAAATACATTTTTTAAATTTGCAGTGGGTGACACTTGATGTTAATACAGTTTTTTTTAAAAATATTAATTCATGAAATAAATTTAAAAATGAATAAATAGTAACCAACACAAAAATAATAGTCCAACAGCATATATAGAAAGGAAAAGCGTTCGTTCTGTCCCTGTAGAGCATTGGATAGCGCGTTGGACCTCTAATAGAAAGGTTGTGGGTTCGAATCCCACCTGGGATAGACTAGTTTCTGATTTCTTTTAAAACACTTTTTTAAATAATTAAATTTAATTAATCAATAAATTTTCACAAACGAACAAAAATAGTCTAACACTATATATGGAAAGGAAAATAGAAAATTGCAAGGAAATTATCACTTAATATTGTGATTATGTCATATGTATATACATATTTATAATAATTATAACTATTTAATAAAAAAGTAACTAAAAGAAAATTTTTCTTTGTTGACCTAAGTAGGAATTGACTTAATTATATATATATATATATATATATATTACTTGTTTCTCTTTTCAAAATAGAGCCTTAAATTTTTTTGTATATACTTTAATATAAATGCTCTATAAAAGTTAAATCTGAGATCTCTAGTTATTTTTATAAAAAATTCTAAAAATAATATTTTTTAAAAATTCGTGTTTTTTCCAGGTTTAGCTATAAAATAATTATTAAAAATCAACAATGGAGAACAGATTTTTAAATACATACTGACTTTTGTTACTGATAATCTAAGAAACATAAATCTCTTAAAACGACTAAAAAATTTTAAAAATTGATCGTTTAGTAAAAGTTTAAAACATTCCAGAAATCAACGTTTTTTTAAAATTGTAACATAGTGGCTTGTCAAACTGACTTTTTATTTTTAGAACCAATTCAAAAATGTAATCTGAAAGTAAAACGTAAATTATTTTTACTAATTATGTCTGCAAAAAAAAAAAATTTTTTTTGAAAAAGGGTAGCCTTGAAGTAACCATCAACATAATTATGCTTAGAAAGTATCGAAACAAAATTTAAGCACTTGTCAGGGATAGTAAAAATCAACGTTTATGTATAATAAAATAATCGAATAATTAGCAAAGCAACATCTATGATTAAGTGAGGGAATTAAATTTATCACAAAATTAGTAAATTAAATCCAACTAACAATAAATTTAGTACAAAGGCTTAAGAAATTTAACAGGGTAATCATAATCTAAAAATTGCTGTGTGTTAATGTTCGGAACCGTATGATTTAAAGATTGTTCTGTGTTTTTATTTCAAAAAATTAACATATTAAAATTATAAAAGTTTTAAAATGTTTCTTAATTTTTATAAATTTCCATATGAATTAGAAGCTACCAAGAGACTATTTAGTTTCAAAATATTTGGTTTCTTCTCATGGACTGTCAACAGATTGTGGTACTTCCCCCCCCCCCCATTATTTAAGGACGAATCGAGACGACTCAACATGAGAAAAGAATGCTTCGCGAAAAAGAAGTGTAAAATACCATAGTATTTTAAATGAGAAACACTGTTAGAAGGAAGTCAAAGCTCCGTAAAAAAGTACAAAGAAGCGAAAAAATATACTTCAAACAAAAGTTTCGTCCGCCTTCGAAATAGGGCTTGAAAAGAAATGGAGGAATTCTCAAGTTAAGTGGAAAATATGTTTTCTAGTGTTTGTTTTTTCGGCCGAAACGACGAAGAAAATCAATGTTGCGTTGAATCTTTCTTTGCATTGTGACCTTTCGATTCGGAAGACCTCGGGGAAAGTTGTTCACTTAAACGAGGCCAACGAATGCTTTCACTTCCTTGCATTGTCATTCATTAGGCTTCTTTCCTTTGCCGGAATGAAAGGTGGATTTTGCGAATGCTTCAACACGTAGAGTCAGTCGAACCCTTTGTTTTACATTCAACATTCCTCTTCGATTCAAACATCCCCTAAACAAGGACATACAAAAATGTGCAGTAAATATCCAACGAAACCATTCGCTCTTTTCATAAACATTTACATTTTTGTAGCAGACATTTAAATAATCAATTGTAATGAATTAATAACAAAATGAAATTCGCAGATTTCAGTTTTGTGAGATTTTGACAAATTTGAAAGAGAAGTTAAATATTTCATTTTCAGGGGGGGGGGGGGATGAGATTTCAGAGTCGTAAGAGTGTTGCTCGTAAGTATCATTCTTCCTAATACTCTCTCAATACCGCGCTATTCTTAATTCCCCTCCTCCCCTGTGGTTTCGAAACATATAATGGTGTGCAAAACTTAAACCACAATATAAATTTTAAGCAGATAGCCATGAAATTGCAGAAAAAGGGTTATTGCGAACAGTACAATGAATATGCAACTCAGTAGAAAGGTGCTGCGTATGCAAGTGTCTATAACAAGATGTCACAGGTGACGTGAATGTAGGAAAAACGCGTGTGGTTGGCACTCGAAGCTCAAGACTACAATAAAAGGAAGACTCCATTAAAGACCTTTGCTGTAAGTTCAAGTAAGTTCTTTCGTGAAATATGGCAAGAAAAAATCACCTGGACGACTTTACACGTGGAAAAATGATCGTGAAACTGGAGGAGGAACGTAATTTGACCAGTGTAGATGAAGAATTCGGAATCAACAAACTGCCATTTCACGAGGTGGGAAAGCCTCTTAAACCAAATGCACAGCCGTTAGAAAGGTTGGTAATGGCCTCCCTAGGAAACAACTGCAAGGGATGATAGATATATCGTCCTGCAGGCGAAAAGAGCCCGATACCAGTCAGCCATCGCCATTGCTCAGCAACTGTGGCCAGCAACAGGGGAACAAGAGCATCGTGGTTTACTGTAGTGAGACACCTACACAAAGGGGGCTTATTCACCGCCATCCTGAACTGCATACCTTTGAAAGTTAGCGATCGTTAGCTATCTTTTAGCCACCATTAGCCACGTTAGCCGTCATCTAGCCATCATTATCCATGTTAGCCATCATTTGAAAGTTAGCTTCCTTACAGCCCTCTAAAAAGTTTAGAGTGCTCTAAGGAGCACAAAAATTAGACATCTTATCAATAGAGTCGTGTGCTCTTTACGGATGAGAGTCGTTTCAGTGCCACAAGCGATTGTCAATGCCAATTGATTTGGAGAGAGGTCGGTTTCGTCCCTGTGAAATCACGGAAAGACATCTTTACGGTGATCCAGGAGGGATCGTCTTGGGAGGCATTATGCTGAGCTTTTTCGACAGAGGTTCTATAACTAGAGATCGCAACTGTAAGGAGGTGATCTTTTCCCATGTGCGTCTATCCCGAGGCACTATTGGACGAGACTTCATTTTTAAGAATGACAATGTACGACCACACTGAACTGCTGATGTTAAGCAGGTACTGGAAAGTGAACATAGAACATGTATGGGATGCTTTTGGGAGACGCCTTGTGACATGATTACATCCTCCGGGGGACACCCAACAACTGAAACAGATGCTGATTGAGGAATGAGCACTCTTACCTCTAGAACTGTTGGGTAATCTAGTACCCAGTATGGAAAGACGGTGCGGAGCAACCTTTGCAGTATAGGGAGCGTATATTCCATACTAAGGAACATCTACTTGCTCTTCCTCTTGGACAGACAATTATGTGTAACGATACTATGAGTTGAATAAGGCCTTTTTTTGTTTGATTTCATACTATATGTATTGTATTCATTTTTGCACACAGCTTTGCTTTCATCATCGTTTAAGTACTCATTTTTAAATTTCACACACACACACATTTCTCATAATTTTTTCTCTATTTTTTCACATTAAATATGATCCTTCCGACCCATTATTAATCTTCGAAAGGGTTTTATTAATTTTCTACCAAGAAATTATTCCACCGGAGTTTTTCCCGTCGGCTCATGTACAGACGTGCGTATTTCATAAGCGAATTCGTTGAGAAATTGATCCCAAGTCCATGATTATCATCAACATAACTTGAAATCATCTGAAGAAGGGTGAGATTTAACCTGTGTTTGATTAGACTGTAGACTGGTTTCTTTCCCGTAAAATAATAAGATTTCCCCATTTTTATTTTTTACTTTTGGTAATTATACTTCGTTCGAATTCCCTGGAACGGCATGGGGCTGAAATAATTCGAGGCATCTTGTTTTGATTTGACTGTGTGACGTGATAATGGGAACTCGAAGTTATCAAGTGGTGGGGTATGGAAATTAGAACAGTGAGTAAGTAATCTGAGAGAAGCATCTGAGAAAAAGACTGAGTGAAAGCCAACTATATATATAAAAACTAGAATTACAGATTATAATACCCATAATTTCCATTGAAAGGCGATGGAATTTGATAATTATTATCTATATAATAAATTTGACATGAAATGATCAGGACAACATGGTTGTCCATAGTTTTATTACTCAACTGTAAAACCTTAAATATGCTTAATTTATCTCTTCTAGTGATTTTATGTCAGCTTCACACAAAACATAGAAAAAACTTAATGTAAAATTTCTGTCGAAGAATGAATTTTACAAAAATTGCGTTCATAAGACTAGTAAAAATTCTTCGGGAAAATACGATGCGATAGGAGTGGGTGGAAGTATTTGGAAAAGCCTTTCGGATGATGTCATTGGGATTTCATAATAGGAGCGAATCATTGCGTGATATCATTCCTTTTTTGATGACTCTGGATTTTTGTTTCCCTTCCTTTTTTTGGGCACCAACTGGAAAATGGCACGGTTGCCTTCTATCCCCCCCTTCCCCTCATAGATTTTCTATAAAATTCTTAAAGAGCGTCAGAAGAAACTTTAGGCACGCCTCCCGGATCACCTCGCAACAGCCAATCACCGTCATGCCTATTAACGTCACCTATTAACGTCACACTCTTCAGCTACACGAGAGCTTTTGGCGACGGACCCCGTAATTTTGAACCATGGTCAAGTGACGAGGACGACACCTGAGCTGTCACCTCTCTAACTACCACACCACGTCAACGGGAGGACGTTTGAGCTCTCGATAGATTTAGCGTGCATTGCGTCCCTACACGGTGGGTATTCAGTGGTACTGGGCTCGAAGAACTCATGACACGCCAGCCATGTCCGATACCTTGACCACTTGGCTACCGCGGCTATATGCCTCTCAGCAGACTGAGAAACTCCACTTTCACCGTCTCCCACATCGAAGACCACGAGATATGGGATTGAGGACTGCGTGCAGTCCAGATACCCACAAACGAACGCCCATTTCAACGTCCCTGCTGCCGCGTTTGGAACCTATT